CCACATCACTATCATCATCATCAAATATATGAAAAAGACATAGTATAGAACAGTATTATCTCAATTAACACCTAGACAACACTTGTACTGTCAGCATGAAACGTATAAATGAGCAATATATTTCAAAATCCAAAATGACCGCCTGTCAGCCATTCTGATCTGTCTCAAAACTAGAGATCAAGAGAAAGCCTCACTCAAATTGTACAAAGGTGCATACAGTACTTCTCAGGAAATAAGATAGATGGACAGCCAAGTGATGTCAAGTGCTTTGAATAGCAAGAGAAAGTGATTTGTTTTGGAATATTTACAAAATAACAAAACAAGTTATGTGGACAATGATTTGTATTATAGTTAACATGTAAAACACACACAGTATGCTGACACCAGTATGACTGTGACACCATGGACCGATTCAGTCATTATTGAAAACAAGGAAGTCAGTATACATTCTGCACATGTGTATTGCACTTGTACATATAACTTACCCAAACTTTTGTTTTAAATTGTGGAAAATGATCACAGTGATACTATAAAATGATAGCAGTAGATAAGGTTTCAAGAAAACCACCTTTAAACATATTTGATTATCTTACTATACAACCAGGTTTCACGCCAGGTCAATCAACTGTTCAACTTACAAAAATTTATCAAGATATTTTATCAGCCTTAAATGAAAATGAATTAAGGTGTTTATATATGTATACATTACATATATCTTATAAATATGTCATATTTTTTGTCATATTTGGCATAAGGGAAAAAATATTATGGTAATATATTCTTTCTAAAGTAAAATAAATACGGTATAACTGGGGACTTGATTTATAGTGAAGGATACTGTACTTAATTTATGAATACAAAAGTGCATCTTAACGTGTTTAAATATGATTAATTATTAATAGAAAAAAGCATCTTTAAGTAACTGTGCAAAACCATTGGTATTCTGTTTCAACCCTTGTAATTCAGAAGTTATTTTCTTAAAAAGTCTGAAGATTTGAACAAGTTTCTGAAATTGAAGAGCTGTAAGTTTGTTTTTTTTTCTTAATCTTTGATTGACATACTTTAGGCATTTAGGAATCGCTTTCATTGCTGAAGAGAAATGGAGTGATATTTCAGTATTGTTTATCAAAGAAATCTGTGGCGGGACATTTCTGTATGTCAGGTCATAATACCAATGACGTCAATGTCATTGGCGTGACAACAAATGTACTTGACACCAACCGCAGGCTACGTCTGGAGGAGAGTTACATACGTATCTTAAAAACTGAACAACCAGAAGGGCAAAATATAATTACATAACGATAGTAAGGTTAAAGACCACCCCAAGGAATACACTGGAGTCGAGTTGGAAGCCAAGGATTCCATGTATCCTATGTGGGAAAAGTTATGCTAGTGTTAAGAGCCTAAGGAGGCATGTAAACGTAAACCACTCAGCCACGGAGACCTGGTATAGATGTAAGGTTTGTAAACAGTCTTACAGAAGAAACTCAGATTATCTAAGACACCAACAAAAGGAACAGTCAATGTACAAGATCGAACCGGAAATCATACAAGACAAAACGAGGGAGGAAGCAAAAGCACCATCGAACAAAAGACCGGTCGAAAGCCTCACCAAGTCGCAATTGGACTTGGTGAAGTTCTGGGTTGTCCCGGGACGGCAACTTATAAGCGGAGGACCACCAAAGATGTCCAGACCTATATTGAACCAAGCCAGAGACCTTTTGAAGGACCTCGCCCTTAGTGACACCTCGATATCATCAGGGTCTACAGCCAACACCTCAGTGAATGAGGATATGGGAGAGAAAAGGGACTATAAACAGTTAAATTATGTCTCAGCGTCGACATCCACACTGTCTAGATGAACATTGATAATTTTTTATAAATTATCTACTAACCGCAATGGAGATACTGATGTTATAATTTAGAATAGGAATCTATAATTTATATAATTGATTTGATGTGTATATATATGTATATAGAGTAGGACATAAAAAGAAAGAGAGGAGCCAACGCCTTGGTTCTTCATGTGGAAGTATCGAGTTTGTCGTCTAGGTGTGGGGTGATTGCATATGATTAAGACATATGAACAGAGAGGTGCAATCGCAACACGACCTGATGTACTCTGTTAACGGTGCTTTATTACTCTGTGCTATGTGCGCAAAAATAAGTAATTATATATAAAGTATTGTATTCATTACACAAACTTTGATTTCATTTCCTTCATAATCTTCGTTTTTTATTTTCTTAAGTGCTCAGTATCAAATTCCCTTTGCAAGTACTTTCTCTCGTATGTGTGAAGCTCGTATCATGAAGCAATTTATTGAGGCTCATGCTTCTAAGACGTCATAAGAAATTACAACCGCGGATAGCTATCACGTGATAAGGTCTCGTTGGATAATTACATGACGTCATAGCAACCAGAAGCCTAACGACCACAAGATGTAGCATCAAGTTTTAGGGCACCAATATAACAAACCGAGAATGAAGATGTTAAATGTTAAACATAGAGTTAAGCCAAAGTTGGATTTCAATGGAAACAATTTCAACAACTTTTCCAACAAGTGTCACGGACAAGATAAGGTGAGAAAGTTATATATTTCATAGATTTTAGAGTTTGACTTATAAGTATAGCATCTGGAATTAAAATTGCTTGAATATCTTTTACATTAAACAATAATATATGCTGCTGGAACCAACGCCTCTAAGTCCTAGAAGTTGTTTAGATTCGGGACCAACATTATCTAGAAAAACAAGGAACGGCGATGGGGACAAAAATGGCGCCTAATTACGCTACAATTTTCATGGACTACATCGAAACTCGTTTCTTAGCAAATCAAGCAATGAAGCCCTTAGTATGGTGGAGATACATACATGACATTTCTTTCATTTGGCCACACTCCAGAGATGAACTTTCATCATTTTTGCAGGCCTTGAACGAATTCCATGGTACCATAAAATTCACATGGGAAATAAATGAGCAGGCTATTAAATTCTTGGATACCACAGTCTGCATTAACAAAGTAGGCAACTTAGGAACCAAAATTTACAATAAACCCACTAACGCCTACCTGTATACCTGCACTACAAAGTAACCACTCGAATCACCAAATAAGAAACATCCCCGCATCGTTAGCGTTGCAGGCACGCAGGATTTGCAGCAACATAAAGGACTTCGAAACAGAAGCGGAAAATTTACTCGTGAGATTCCTAAATAGAGGATACCCACGTAAACTCGTACTAAAATCAATTGAACAGGCAAGAAAGTGCAACAGAGAACTTTCGTTAAAACCCAAAATCAACAAGGAACAATCAATAACGATTCCATTTATAATACCGTTCAACAAACACAATCCGGATATTAGATACAAACCAATCCCAGCCAACAGCTTGGAAACCTTGAAACTACACCAAGCCAGGATTGCAGTAGCTTTTACAAAACCAAAGTCTTTGAGGAACATATTGGTAAAAGTGACTTGAACATGTCTATGCACCCCCAGAGTGTAAACCAAGTGGAAAAAACTGCAGGATTTGCAAACACGTAAAAACCACAAACACTTCTGAAAGTTTCAAGATAAAAATGAAATTCAGAATCAAGCAAATGATAACATGTCAATCGGTCAACAAAAAATATTCAATTGACTGAAAAAATGCGGAAAACAGTACGTCGGTCAATCATCAAACACTTTGAACACCTGCATAAGAAATCACCTCTACAGAATACTAAATAAAGACCCGACAAAACCTGGCATCAGATAACAAAATAAGAGTTAAATACAGTCGAGTCAAACATGGAATCTTCTAAAGTTTAAATCTGATGACAACCTATCCATCACAATTTTTTTTCAAAAGCCACAAAACTTGGGCAGGATGCAAAAATATGGACACGTAGAAACCTTATCCGAGAATAATTCATCTAGTTTCCAAGTTACCTTTCCAAACTAAACACGATTACGTACAGCAATCCCCCCAGCCATTTTGAAGAAAAAGATGAAAATTTTAAAGAAAAACGACAGAAGAAACAATTTTACAATGTCACTCTGTTACATTAGAGAAATAAGTAATTATATATAAAGTATTGTATTCATTACACAAACTATGATTTCATTTCCTTCATAATCTTCGTTTTTTATTTTCTTAAGTGCTCAGTATCAAATTCCCTTTGCAAGTACTTTCTCTCGTATGTGTGAAGCTCATATCATGAAGCAATTTATTGAGGCTCATGCTTCTAAGACGTCATAAGAAATTACAACCGCGGATAGTTATCACGTGATAAGGTCTCGTTGGATAATTACATGACGTCATAGCTACCAGAAGCTTAACGACTGCAACATGTAGCATGAAGTTTTTGCGCGAAAAGAAAGATGTTTAATGTTAAACATAGAGTTAAGCCAAAGTTGGATTTCAACAGAAACAATTTTTCCAACTTTTCCAACAAGTGCGACGGACAAAATACGGTGAGAAAGTTATAAATTTCATAGATTTTAGAGTTTGACTTATAAGTATAGAATCTGGAATTAAAATTGCTTGAATATCTTTTACATTGAAAGTATAAGTGATATGATCTGTAACTAATTGTATTACTATAGATTTTATACAGAATATCCATGTGTGTGTAGAGAAAAAAAAGTTATTTTTTCGGAATCAGGTGGACTTGTAGAAAGCATTGATTGTGTGTTTATACTGACTGGGTCACTGTTTGTGATATGCCGTCCTACAACAGAGATCACCAACAATCCAAGCTGTCCTAACACATAAATCATCAACAATCCAAGCCGTCCTACAACAGAGATCACCAACAATCCAAGCTATCCTACAACAGAGATCACCAACAATCCACGTCGTCCTACAACAGATATCACCAACAATTCACGTCGTCCTCACACAGAGATCACCAACAATTCAAGTCGTCCTCACACAGAGATCACCAACAATCCACGTCGTCCTCACACAGAGATCACCAACAATCCAAGTCGTCCTCACACAGAGATCACCAACAACCCATGTCGTCCTCACACAGAGATCACCAACAATCCACGTCGTCCTCACACAGAGATCACCAACAATCCAAGTCGTCCTCACACAGAGATCACCAACAACCCATGTCTTCCTTACACAGAGATCACCAACAATCCACATCCTCCTCACACAGAGATCACCAACAATCCACGTCGTCCTCACAGAGATCACCAACAATCTACATCGTCCTCACACAGAGATCACCAACAATCTACATCGTCCTCACACAGAGATCACCAACAACCCATGTCGTCCTCACACAGAGATCACCAACAATCCACGTCGTCCTCACACAGAGATCACCAACAATCCAAGTCGTCCTCACACAGAGATCACCAACAACCCATGTCGTCCTCACACAGAGATCACCAACAATCCACGTCGTCCTCACACAGAGATCACCAACAATCCAAGTCGTCCTCACACAGAGATCACCAACAACCCATGTCTTCCTTACACAGAGATCACCAACAATCCACATCCTCCTCACACAGAGATCACCAACAATCCACGTCGTCCTCACAGAGATCACCAACAATCTACATCGTCCTCACACAGAGATCACCAACAATCTACATCGTCCTCACACAGAGATCACCAACAACCCATGTCGTCCTCACACAGAGATCACCAACAATCCACATCGTCCTCACACAGAGATCACCAACAATCCATGTCTTCCTTACACAGAGATCACCAACAATCCATGTCGTCCTCACACAGAGATCACCAACAATCCATGTCTTCCTTACACAGATATCACCAACAATTCACGTCGTCCTCACACAGAGATCACCAACAATCCAAGTCGTCCTACAACAGAGATCACCAACAATCCAAGTCGTCCTCACAAAGAGATCACCAACAATCCACGTCGTCCTCACACAGAGATCACCAACAATCCATGTCTTCCTTACACAGAGATCACCAACAATCCATGTCGTCCTCACACAGAGATCACCAACAATCCACGTCGTCCTCACAAAGAGATCACCAACAATCCATGTCGTCCTCACACAGAGATCACCAACAATCCACGTCGTCCTCACACAGAGATCACCAACAACCCATGTCGTCCTCACACAGAGATCACCAACAATCCAATCCGTCCTAACACAGAGAACAGAAATTATAAGAGTATATTAAAGGGGATATAGAATTCTCATTCTTTCCTAAGTATTCCATTTATTCAGATAGACAAGACTCCAGAAAACTCTGCAACAAACTATCCTGGATTTGATATCTTTAACTCTGTCGGTGTCCCATACTCCGACTCCTGCCTGTTCCCTGAATCTGGTCTGGTAAAAACAACACAAAGATCACCAATCATCTCAGCTGTTCCATCAGAGATGTCATCAAAAATCACTGCTGTTTCAACACAAAATTCACAAACCATCCCATTACATAGATCACCAACCCCAGTTATTTTATCAGGTGTTCAACTGGCATCATTATCATCAACATCGACAAATCTAGTCAATGCTGCAGCAAGTTCAGTCAGTAGCATTTCTTTCTTTAATTTTCTTAGAATTATGCCTTGATTAATTCATGTGAATGATCAAAAAAAAGAAATCTTATCGAACATTGTTGAACAATAATTTTGTCTACATTCTGTTTGCTATTTCAATTTAAGACAACAGGGGAGCAGATTATTCAACAAACCCACTAACGCATTGTTGTATTTACACTATCGGAGCTGCCATCCACGTCAACTAATTACCAGCATAACATACTCCCAGGCATTGAGGATTAAGAGAGTTTGTAGCGAGACCATACACTTTGAACATGAATGTCAACAGCTATTGAACAGATTTGTTTCACGAGGATATCCTAAACAACTAATTTTGAACGCTATTGACAAGGCGAGGAGGGTCCCGAGGGACCAGCTTCTCAACCCAAGTCACAATGAATCCAACAAAAAATTGATACCGTTTATTGTTACGCATAACCCGAGAAATCCGCCTATAGCACAGTATTTGCGGAAATATAAATATATTCTTAGACAGAGCCCGCCTACAGAAAAACTTCTTGAGTACCGCATGATAGTGGCATTCAAGAGACCTAGATCTATCAGAGACCTTCTGATCAGAACCGATATCAACCAGAGCACGGTCCAACACGGGAGCGGACCATGTGGACAACAATGTAGGATTTGTAAATTCATGGTAGCGAACGTAGTATTTACCAGTAAATCTACAGGGGAAAGTTACAAGATTAGAAACCATATAACTTGCAAAAGTGTAAACGCTGTATACTTGATTACCTGTAAGATATGTGGGATCCAATACGTAGGTCAGACTTCGACTACTATTAATACCAGGATCCGAAACCATTTATATGATATTATACACGGGAATCAAGAGAAACCCGTAACGCGGCATTTTACGTCGCCAGGTCACAATGCCGATGACGTTATAGTTACCGGCATAGTGACCGACGTCAACAACATCAACTGCCGTCTACGGACTGAAGAAAGCTGGATTAGGATCTTACGTACACGACAGCCGGAAGGCCTAAACTTGATATCATAATGCCGAACCTCAAGAAAATTCCACAGAAGCAGGTAACCAAAACCAAACCCACCAGATCCATAAGAATACCGTGTATTCTATGTGGTAAATCTTATGACTCCATAAGGAATTTAAGAAGACATGTTAATGTGGCCCACGTGGCCATCAAAACCTGGTACAAATGTAAAATATGCAAAAAAACATTTGGCAGAGATGGTGATTACAAGAGACATATGAAGAATTTCCATCCAGGTTACGTCGTCGAACCTGAGGTTTACGAGGATAAAGTTAGACAGGAAGCGGTCAAACCAGACAGCAAAAGACCGTTCGAAGTACTCACCAAAAAACAACTGGAGAACGCTAAATTTAGAATACGGCCAGCAACCAAAATCAACATCAGCGGCCCCCCGATGAGACCAGTATTGGAGGAAGCCATTGATTTATTGAAGCAGGACTTGGCTTTAAGCGATTCAGATAGCACGGCCTCGACCCCCAATTCATCCGAAGTGGAAGATGAGAAGCGCGTGAATTACCGGGAATTGAAGTACCAGTCAGAATCCATGTCAACGCTGTGCTTAGATGAGAATCAATGAACTGAGTTAATTGCTCATACTAACTTTATTGTTTATAATTGTACAGATATAACCATGAAGGATACTGACAGACATTATATGTTCATAATAATTTATAGAGTTATCGATCATAATTAATCACGTCATAAGTAACAATGTAAATTTGCCCGCCCTAAGTATACTTTAGGGATATTTCTCAAGGTAATGTTGTCCTGATGAAGCCCAATTAGAAGGGCGAAACCGGTAGACCGATTACCTATAATAAATCTTTGAAGAACCCGCCTCCAGTCTGTTGGATTGATTCATACCTATTTAAGCTCACCCCTTCTCATCAATCCCCTGCATACCCTAGGGTATCCAGGCGGGAGGCGAATAACCTGCAGACCTCTATTAAATACAACAGCGGCGTTGGCTCTATCCTTTACTCACTTCAATTTAAGACATTACAAAATAAAAACGGTTGTTTTCCTTCTGTTTTACAGGTGACAATGACCCCAGCACTGATTTGTAGAGCAAGGAGAATGTCTGCAGAAGCCATTAGGTCTACATCACAAGCTGTACCAGCCATCACGTCATCAATCTTGTCTCTAACTGAATTCATATATCTACAATCATCTTCAATGTCACCAGTTGTACCTCAAAACTGGTCTTGCTCCGTAATGGTGAATATTGGTTCAAGTACGTCAGCCTGGGGACAACCAGTAGCAAGACGAAAGCCCCTCTATCGGGTAGTCACGCCTCCTCCAGGCGCCTGCATGGGAGCTGTGCTTCTTCCTAACAGAGCAAACGAAAATGGTAAGTTTAAAAGCTGTGGATGTATACATGACCCGTGCTATCAATGTTTTGCTTGTATGGGATGGCAGCTGCGGTAATGTAGATATAAGAATGTGTTAGTTGGTTTGTTATATAGTTAAGTACTCAGATTTCCTACTTTGATTTCCTACTTCGTCCAATGTGACATTTCTGCCATAAGGGGGCAGTGATTTGCCTCAGAACTGAAGATGAGCATCAGTTCAAACAATGTGAGCTTACATACCTCAAGCAACACAGTGTCTGGAGCACATAAAGTTACTTACCAGTACTCAAAAATCAGAATCTTTCAACCGCATGCTGCAGAAAACAAATCCAAAGATGATGACTTGTTTCTGCAACTTCTCTGCAAGTCTCTCCACATCACTGTACATCTGTGTAACTTTGATATTGCGGACTCTGTGACGTTGAGGTTAAAAGCCATTAGCAGTGCCTTGGTCAGTGGATCATAAGTTGTCTGACCAATCATATACCTAAGAAAGAGACAGATATATCATAAACAGTGTCAAAGACATTTAGCCTTCAGAGTGACAAGAGAACGGCACAGGATCAGAAGATAGTGCATGTATGCAAAAGCATGTGTTCCCAATATTACCTTTATATCTAGAGTTGACAATCCCAAGACTTTCTGTTAAGAGATGTGCTAAGAACTGTGCTGAGAGATGTGCTAAGAACTGTTCTGATAGATGTGTTAAGAACTGAGCTGAGAGATGTGTTAAGAACTGTGCTGAGAGATGTGCTAAGAACTGTTCTGATAGATGTGTTAAGAACTGAGCTGAGAGATGTGTTAAGAACTGTGCTGAGAGATGTGCTAAGAACTCAATGTGCTAAGAAAAATCTTTCATTACTGTGCTTTGAAAATTATGTTAATAAATATATCTTGAATTTGATGTAATATTTTTGAGTGTGCTTATTAAATATCTTAAATCTAGGTTGCTTTTAGTTATCTTTTCTTGACAAAAATAATGATTTTGAGGGCTGTTGTCTTCTGATATCTGAGGCTGACTCAGCTTGTAAGATAGACTTACCTTACTCAGGATGCTAGTCATCAAACTTGGTAAACTGACCATTGTAGGTCAAGAAAGAAAATCTTCTACAAGACAAGTACATTGTCTTGAAGAAAACATTTATTTTCAAACACTGCACTTACCTGCATGTTTTCCACAGCCTTGTACATCCTGGAGACTCTGAACATGATGATTCTGTATTCATGCCTTCAGCCAATCAACTGTTAAAGGGTGTAATTTGATTTTTTGATAAAATAGAAATCTTCAAAACTGTGTACTGCTACGTATGTTTCTATGAATTTACACATTTGTTAAAGGCTACAAATGGCATAATCATGTAATTGATAATAATGCAAACATTATACGAATTTGATTTCTTCTTTTTGAAAAATGGTGTGAAATAAACTTTTGATTTCTGTTGAAAAATTTATTGGTATGTTTGGCATAATTACCTCCCCTTTTTTCTTACATTAATTACATTTCAATTCATACTAATCATAACAATAACTTATTCAAAAGCAAACCTTCATGCACATTGATCTAGTAAAAGGAGTGTATGGTATATTTTTTGAACACCTTTCACTTTCTCCACCGAGTCATGAAACTTTACACATGCACTTGGCAAACTTTTTAATTTTCATTGAAAAGAATTTTTTAGTTCCCAGGACACTAACTACCGTGAACACAGTATTTGTCAGTACTTGCAATATCTACAGTTTGATATGGCGTTATACATGTACTAATGATTGCTTCAAGGAATTCATTCAACTTGTGTGTTTTGACTGCAATCTTCCAAAGCCTTGTATATTCTTGTCATACATACAAGGCTCTTGAAAGTGAAATACATTTATTCTAGTACACATCAGGGATCCGGAAAAGCACTCGTCCAGTCGTCATGGACAAGTGAAAATTGTCTTGGACAACCAGATTTATCTTTGTCAGTCGTCCGTTGGACAAGTACCTTTTTCCAATGATATTAATGCTACAAATGTTTCAAAAAAATTAAAGAAAATTTAAAGCAAAAAAACATATTTATGGTACTTCAAAAACAAAATATTCCAATCTGCACTCTAACTTTTGATTACACCGGAACTCCCATGACGTCAAATATAGCATTCAGAATACCTTGTCATTTTCCCTTGTTCATACCAATACCAGGTGCTCTCAGGTGGTACCAACATGTACTGGTCTGTATTTAACAGTACCGAGTCAGTCGGATGTAAACAAACACTATGGCGTGGCCTAAGTCGTGCACAAT